CCCAGCCTCCAGGAGCACTCTATAAGCTTCCTAAAGGCTATCCATGCCCTTTTTTAAACTAAAAACAGGCCCGTTTTCTGCTCGTTTTTGCCCCCCCACCCCACCAGGAGCACTCTGCAAGCCCCCTAAAGGCTATTCATGCCTTTTTGAGGGGGGAAATAGGTCTGTTTTTGTGAAAAACGGGCCATTTTTGGGAGGTCTGCAGAGTGCAAAAACTTTTTTTTTAATTTGCCTCTTCAAAAGCTTAGTGTGTCTTAAAATCTGGTGCGTCTTATACTCCAAAAATGTGGTAGTTCCTTCCTAACTATAAGCATCTTTTATAACACTTCTAGAATTCTGTACATAGGAAGAAACTCAAAGAGAATATATGCATAAGATATATCCAAAAGTCAACAAAAAGTTAAGTTACATTTCTCTTTTCTTATGTAATCTTATAAGCATTACTTAGCTTCTTCTCAAAGAAAAGCCCACTTTATTAGACCTTACTTTTGCTTTTTGCAAAACCCATACCCTATTTCTTAGAGGAAAGAAGCCCTTACATTAGGCAAGGTCATGGAACTTGATTTCATTTTAGAAGATGGAGAATAAAAGAAATGACCACAGTAATACTTTATTGTCTCCTTTAAAAAAAAAAAGGAATAGGAAAGGAAAACACTTCTATTCTCAAAAATACCTCCAGTATATACCTTTCCAATTCTATTTGGTCTTTCAGGAAGTAGGGCTACTGAACAGGGATATGGATTTGTTGTAAAATCCAACGTATGGCAGATAAGCCACATTTTTTTTCCACTTACCCTAGTTCATGTAAAGTCATTTGGTGAGATGGATGGCAGAGAAATGTAACTTAGTTCTCTTTTTAATTTGACTTTTGCATATATCTTATGCCTATCAGCAAATTCCCTTTGAGTCTCTGCCTACATTCCAGAATTCAAAAAGAATTGTAACTGATGGGAATGGTAAATAATTGGTTTGGTTCCAGATCATGATTCGAATGTGGAAACCTAGTTTGGGCAGAAGTCTACATTAACTTTTCCTGTTTAACACGATTGTTAACCATTATAATAAACTCTACAGTTATAACTACAGATATTGCTCCATCTGAATCACCTTTCAGCACTCAGTGAACAGTGCCATCTGGTGACTTAATATGATCATGCAGTTATGGAAAAAAAATCCAAGGCACCCTAAGTTTAACAATTGATTGGGCTGTATGAACCATTGAGAGGTGGCCTTTACAAAACAGCCAAATACCCTGATCCTTCTACTCAAAATGCCAACATACTGTCCCCTTACCAACGCTGTTTTAAGGGCTTCTGCATGTATGTGCATACTCGGACAACACTTGGGTTAGGACAACACTCAAAGTACTTTATCAACAATAGCAATAGAAACATTGTTGATGAATATATCAAAGTAGCAACATCAGACTCTGCCATTGTTGTATAACTTGCTCAACAACTGATACTGGCCGACTTGCCAATGTGGGGGGCCAATTCTAATTTATAAAAAGACATAGATACCTGTTGCTGACTCAGTTTGATGTACCTAACGCTCTTTAACCTATCGTTCAGGTTTTCAGCTCAGCATGGTGTTAGATTAAAAATATCCATGCTTGCAATATAAATCATTATCTGTTACAGATCAATGCATACTTGGCAACCTGTCTTCCTCAACCATATAAAATTGTGCAGCAGAAATATTTTCAGCAGAAACAGAAGGAAGTATGCAGAGACTTTTTGTTTCCAGATTATAGGAAAGCAATTATTTACAAAGTGTACGTTAACAGAGAGCCTACAAACCTTTGTTTAATATAAACACACCTAAAGAGATTTAATTTTGCATAAGCGTACAAACGTTCAGGCTGAAATCAAGTTTGTTTCTTTTGAAAGCAAGACTGCTCGTAGCAAAATCCTTCTCCCCAAAATACGTCAATGAATTTTTCTACTTCAATTATCAGAAAATACAAGAGAAATTTTGTTTCCCATGCATTCTTCCAAATGGAACAAGTCAGGGTTTTTTAGAGTAGGATTTGATACCTGTGGAGGTTCATAGATGGCAGAAACCTCAGCTCGAATACCCAGAGGAATGTCTTTATGTTCTGTGTACCTCCCATATAGATATCCAAAATGTTGGTTTCCTGTTTTTCTCCAGAAGTCCAAGAAACGATCTGCAATTGTATGGTTCTCAAACATGATATTATCCACATGTCTATATTTCTGCCATTTGAAAAAAGAAACATAAAGCCATAATCAAACATTTCCCCTTATCAGAATCAGTAGAGTTTAATAGAGTCACAAAACTGTAGATATTAGCCTTTTAACTCAGGTTGCTTCATTTGGAGTTACAGAAAACCAACATTCTTTTTAGGAAAAGCATCCTGTTCGATCATGCCCACTTGGCTGCTTCCGCTAATAGAAGTAGCTGAACAATGACAGCTCTATCCATGAAGAAAAAAGCTTCAGCTTCTTTCTCTTCTTTTATGCTATGTTAGCTAGGGAGGTTCACGAATTGCAGAAACCTCAGTTTGGATTCTCAGAAGATATCTTTATATTCTGCATGCTTCACATATAAATATCCAGATTTTCTCTTTTTACTTCTTTTTAGCAGTCTGGCTTCAACTATACGATTCTCAAAGATATTACTTACAAATTTGTGAGCCATAGTTCAACAATATTAAAGAATTTAGTTTACTGTGATATCTGAAGGTGGCCAATTATTTTTTACACATTCATAGATCTTCACTTTTTCCAATATTTTTGGATCCATAGACACATTTTGTATTTTGAGTTATTGCTTTATACAACATGGCATAATGACTGACATACACCTTGAATGGCCTGCAAAATTCACTGTTGTAATAAAACATTTATTTAATACAAAGAGACCTCATTGAGACCCAACAAGAACAAGATGTGGTTGTAACAATCCTTTATCCTGCAGCAATCCTTATTCAACTGGAGCGAGATCACAACTTTTGAATACCAGAGTTTCAAAAGGATTCCTTGCATAGTGAATTGTCATAATGCAACTTTAATTTATACAAGTAGCTGGAGTAAATTTCCAGACATCCAATTCTAACTTTCTCTATGGAACCCCAATTATGGTCTATGGGCACTTTGATATAACAATTAAAAAACAACATGTGTCACTGTTCTCCTTTCAGTCACAACCCTAGGCAGTTCCTAGTACTTTATTCTTGTAGAATGATCCCAGCTTACAGGTTTTCTTTTTTGTTGATCTTGGTGGCTTAGTAGAATTTTGCATGACCCGTCAAAACCGCGGAGGACAAAATCGCGCTCGACGAAAGTGCGCATGTGACGTCATCACAGCGCGCCGAAAAAAATTAAAAATTTAAATAAAATTAAAATTAAAGCAAGCCGATTCACATAAAGGTAAGGGTTAGGTTTAGGGTTAGGGTTAGGTTAAGGGTTAGGGTTAGGTTTAGAGCGTTAGGGTTACGTTTAGCATTAGGTTAAGGGTTAGCATTAGGTTAAGGGTTAGCGTTAGGTTTAGCGTTACGTTAACGGTTAGGTTTAGGGTTAGATTTAGGGTTAGGTTTGGGGGGGTTAGGGTAAGGTTTTCGCTTTATTTTTACATTTTTCGATCACAGCGCGATGTTTTCGTCGTGCTGTGATGACGTCAAATGCGCGCTTTCGTCGAGCGCGATTTTGTCCTCCGCGATTTTGTGGTGGAACCGAATTTTGTGGTATCTTTTTATACTACCCCTTTTATAGACATAGCTGCTCAGAATCAAAATGTAATTGAAATATATGGTGGGGGTCACTCATTTAACAGAATAACAGAGTTGGAATTTAAAATTGCTGTGATTTCTCATATATATTGCAAATTTTCCTCCATTTATAAGGAATCTATCACGTAAATATATTGCTTTATTTTCCTATATGAGTTGGTCACCAAGCAGCTGTCAAAAGACTCTTCAAACTCTTCTGGCTATTCCTTCCTGAAACAAGCATCATAGGCAAGAGCTTTCTCTACTGCCTTGAAAAGCTAGCTTCCAATATTCATCTTACCTGCCTGTTGAGTGTGATAGCACTTGGCTGGCACTTGGTACAGATTCCTTCTGGCCATGGAGGATGCCCCTCACATCCAGATTTAATCTTGCAGCTAATGTTTTCAAGAGCAACAAACTTCCCCCTAAACAAAAGAAGAAACATGCTTAATATCTAAACAACAACAATAACAACCAATAAACATATAGCAGACATCCTGCCAGAAGTTACCACCAGACTCTAAAACTATATGCAGTCTGCATATAACTCCATAATCCTGTAAACTGGGCGGCGGGGGGGGGGGGGGGGGGGGGGGGGGGGGGACAGTTCAATGTAGATACCAACCTGCCTCTTCTCTCATTTACAAAACTCATAACTGCTAACACAGTGTGATCAACATAGAAACTGTAAACATGAGAAACATCAGTTGAAGATTCACAGCATAATAAAAAGATATTTTAACATTTGCTACTTCTATGCATGGAATATGTTTTATGAGAAATCACCATAAGAAGAAATGTACATGAAAGATTAATGGAAATATTGTGCTTCTAGGACAGTTTTTTTTTTAATTCTGACCTCTGCTTCAAGAATGTCTTTGCTGCACCAATTTATAGGTCAGTTTAAGCTCAACAACCAAGGGGAAAAAATAAAATTCATCTCCCCCCATTATAATAAACGTATTTAAAAATGATTGTTACTACCGTGTTTCCCCAAAAATAAGACAGGATCTTATTTTCTTTTGACCCCCCAAATAAGCACTTGGCCTTATTTTCAGGGACATCTTATTATTTTTGAGGTGCAGGAGCCCGCTTAACCTTGGCCTGTGGATCAGCTGATCCAGAAGTTCTGTCTCGGTTTCTGGCACACTCTTGCCAGCCCTAGTGTCGCTGAGCCTGCTGTTCTTTTTGTGGCTGCCAGTAAGCGAAGGGGCACAGTAGCTAGGGTTTGTGGGAGTGGTCCCTGCGTGGCCATTCTGTGTGGATGGCAAGTGTATGTGGGGTGCGTGGGGCATGTCCCCCCTCCCAGGAAATGGTGGGGACCGGCTATGCATGCTTTTAAATATTTTAGGGGAGGGCGTATTTGGGGGGAGGACATATTTTAGCGCATGCACTCAAAAGCCTGATTGGGCTTATTATCCAGGGAGGTCTTATTTTGGGGGAAGCAGGGTATTGAAGCCAATTTGTTTTTGCCCTATTGTTTTCTACTTTTTCAGATTTTGCCATTTTGTAATCTTTCTACTCCCCTGCAGTAGGTACAAAGTTTCTTACTTGTCTGCACCTCCAGTCAGTTTCCTGATATAGGCATGGAATGACATATGCTTCACAGGAGGTTCCAGATGGTTTAAATAATCCTCATCAAAAGGCTGCCAAGACCACATACACAAAGGAAAACCAGGTCAGACACCTGCTTGATAATACATTGATCACCGTACAAATGGATCTTTTAGTCTGAATATTCTGCTGGCATTCAATGTGGAAATAATTAGGCAATATTATGCTCTTTTTCCACAGCAGTTACTATTCTGACAGTAATAGAGGAGCCCCTTCCTCTCCCTCCCCTGCACGTTAAAATATTTTACTCTTGTACAAAATAGCTTTAGAAACACAACCTATCTCATGGAAGTAATATTCTTGTTTTTATAAGCTTACAGAGCTAAAAACAAAGCTAGAGAATTCTAGCAGAGGTTAACCTAGCTAACTGAAGAATGTGTGCACAACTAAAAATGATTAAAATGTTATTATATAAGTCATTAGTAAAAACAGTACATGATATAAGCATATCCCTCTCCCCTCCAGTTGTAGCTTTTAAAAAGGAAAGAATCCACTTCCCATATAAGCGGAAAATACCAACTGCATATGCTTTCTTGAAACTTGTAACATGAAATAGTATATCCTGTTAAAACCACTACTGCAAAAAGCCAGAAGTAAAAAAACAGATAAATCCAAGTTCTGATTTGACAGGTATATCCAAGGGTCCAATTTTACTTCTTTAACCATTATCAGCACAGCTAGGATACATTAAAGTTTCAACAACATCCTCTCTATTGATGGCATTAAAGCAACTTTATACATCAAGAAAACTTTTACCTTGTAAAGTATTACTATAATAGCTTTCACTTATCTGCTTACCTCTAAAGGTACACAATGTACACATTTGCCCAATGGACCATGCCGACATCTGTGTAAAGAGAACATCAGCAGCTAAATTTACTGGCAAAAACAGAAAAGCACTCTATTTTGTAAAGCTTTACAGATTAATACTTAATACAGATTCATAAATTAATATGAGCCCAACGGCCTGAAATTTCCATTGCTAAGCAAAGCAGTCATTAAGCACAACATGATATGACTACACCGATTAACAATAGCAGTTCCATGTTGCAGTTGTTAGGGCAGGACCCAGCGGTCCTTAGATGAAGACCTCATGTTTCTCTTGCCCTGCCTATTTACCCACCATGTCTGCCCTTATGGTCACCCCTGCTATCCCACCTGATCTTCACCATCTTCTTCTGCTTCTGCTTGCTCCTGATAAGGTCTTCAGAGGGTCTCATACAGCCCTCTGTGTGAGGATGACTTGCAGAGGGCCAGGCCAGGCATACCTCGTCAACAGAAGGCAGCAAAGATCAGCTGGGGGGTGGTAGAGAGGGGCAGCTGAATGCAGGGCAATATGAATGGAGAGGGAAGCAGAATGCATGATGGCCAAAAGGACAGAGATGGAGAGGAGGCAGGTGAGTAAGTGAAGTTGAAGCACACCTTATGGTCCTCAATGTGAACAGTCTGTCAAGTATCTGAATTTTGATCATGTGACCATCGGAGCATTTCAATGGTTGTAATGTCAAGAACCTATTGTAAATACCATTCATTCAGCACTGTCATAACTTCAAACAGTTGCTGAATGAATAATCATTAAGCAAGGACTGCCCATACTCATCACAGATTAACAAAGGGTTAAGCACACTTTAGCTAAGAATTACTGTGCTGATTGCCAACTACACTGAAAATATTCCCTAATTTCACAAATGTAATTATGTTTCAAAGGTTTTATTTCTTTTAAAACACAAATATTTCATCATTCGTCAATCATTAAAACATCGAAGACAAATGTAATTATGGAGAGTACTGATAAGATACAATGCAATTTTTGTTAAAAATGGAATAGACAGATAGCTACTGTTGCAGAAAAGATCCAGAGCACCATCTTCCATTTCCATCTATAGATTATAGGCAATAGATTATTATTCAATATTTTAAAAATCTTCCATTTATTCAATATTTATTTTAACAGCAGGTCTTTCAGAACAACTTTCTTTCTCTGCCGTTGGCATTTTCTTCATAAAAGTTAAGTATGTTCTTAGTAACTTTCACTTTATATATATATAAAGGCATACATTCAACAAAAGAGATTTTTTTTGCCTATGATGCTTTCATGACCACTTTTTTTAAAACCACACAACTGCCAACAATACTTCACTATTCAAAGGTTTTTGATCTTCACTGAAGCAATCATTCCAATACATGGAAAGCTACATAAAGGGCCAGTGTAGACCTATCTAACCTTAGAAGAAATAACACATTATAGAAGTTTAAATCAGATACTTATAATAGTTACTATTAATAGAGGTCTACTCTAAAATGTATAGCTATACACCACAAGTAGCCTTCTGGTGGTCACAATGCCATTTCTTCAGACAGACACCAACTACTGCAATGTTCTCAGTGTACCCTGTGAGAATAATATATTTCGTATCTCTTTAAAGATTCCAGCTAGGAACAAAATGATTATTGAAAGCAATTCTGAGCTTCTCAATATATGTGAGAAATACTAAAGCATGCACCATTTCTGTAGTTCTGAAGTTTTACAGGTGTAAAAGATTTAGAAGATAAAAACCAAGCAAATTCATGTCTACTATTATTACATCTACAGTACAGATGTAAGGACATAGGGCGAATTGTGGCACTCCAAGATTTTAGATGGAAACAAATGGATTACTCAAGTACTAAGCTACAATATTATTTCATTATGTGCTTTTAACAAATGATTACTAAGATGCACTTCATTCTACAAAGCTCTAAATGATTTGAAGGTCAGGTAAGTCTAACAATTAATATAGATCAGACCGTTTCAATGGCTGTCAGTGTTTTTTGTGAACAACAGTAATGTATTTTATTTTTAAAGAATAGGATTACAAATCTGTCTGAAGCTACTTTCTATGAGAATTTCAGAGTGGATCTTTTCCTACAAAAGCCAGTACCATTTTCCCCCCATGGCCTGTTCTGAAGATCAATGCATCAATTTTCCAAGATTTCTAAAGAAAGAATCCATTTTTGAGTTGTTCCACATAAGCAGTGCTGAAACACGTAGCATTTTTGGCTATTATCAACCCATCTCAGAGAACTAAATTACTACCAAATTGTGGGAAAGTGCTTCAACATGAATTGACATGGGATTACTTTAGTTACCTTTGAGAATGGGGAACAGAGAAGGAAAACAGGAAATAAACAGCAAACTGTGAGGAATTTTGTGGAAATAAGAAAACACAATGATATTTACAATTGCTGGTCTCTGCTTCTATAAATTTTCCCGTCCTGTTTTATTAGGTATTGATCAATTTCATCTTCTACCACCTGGGGAACACCTAGTGGACGTGTTCCTTGAGAAATTGAGGTATCCATGTTCTCAGAGGAAGAGCCAGGTGTGCTTGATGGAAAAAGAAATAGCATATCTCCATGTCTGCAAAAACAAAACAAACAAAAAAACAAAAATGGTAGAACTGTTACAGACTTATCAATTTCAGAATGATATTCAACTGAATCAAACTATTTTAATTTGGAAATACTTAGGGGGATTTTAGGTGGACACTCTACAGGATTGGCAATTGTACAGATTATAGATTTCATTACACCATCTTTTCCCATTTACAGAAAGGAGTAAGATTAAGCCGAAGCTTTCTCCAAAAAAATTGAGACAATCTTCTCTGAACTCTCCTTTCTTCTTCCAAGCTATCTGCACCATCTTCCGAACTATTCTGGATGGTGCCTCAACTTTATGAAACAGCTTTTCAGGAAGCTACAGACATAATCAAGTAAACAATCTCTCCATCCTTGCAACTAACTTTCCTGTGATCAGAATGTAGATCAAAGGAAAACTGGATCTAAACCCAAAGTGTACTGAGCCTACACTAGAACGATCTTATGATTATTTACTTGCAAGTAAGTTTCCCTGAATCAATTGAAGTTATTGTGAGATAAATGCACAGAGGATTGCAATTTAAGAACTTTCCAGTTTTTACATCATTTCTTTTTATCTCATGACAAATAATGATAGCTCTTTTGAAGCTGCATTTTTCTGAGATGTCATTTCCCAAAGAGGCATTTTTTTATAATAGTAGCAAAAGGACTACCACCTCCCCATCCTATTCAAGATAAGAATAGACCAAGGAAAGAACAAGTTCTAAACAGGTTCAGATTTCTGCCTTTTTCTGCCTACAATTATTGGCAAGCTGCCAAAAACTAGTAGACTATGGATGATTCACACGGGAAATGATGAGTAACCTATTCTACCAAGGTTAGCTTTTCTTCTCGGAACAGTAACATCAAGGGTTGACGGAGAAACCAATTAATTGCCTGCTCCAAATAAAAAGTACCTTCAAGGGAATAGAGCAGTCTCCTCCTTTTACGTTTCATAGAAAAAAGTGAGGAGGTTTTATCTCATTTCAATTGGCATTTAGGAATTAAACATGCTATGCCATATTTTAATAGCTGCTATTTTAATTGTATAATGTACCATCAAAACTGAGTGAGGAATATATAAATGGGTTAAATACGCACAGCATGTACAGGTAGCCCTTGAGTTACATCTGCAATTGGAAGTAGAATTGCCATTGCTAAATGATGCGGTTGTAAAATGTGACATTGCCTGATTTCATCACTTAGCAACCAGAAATCCTTGCAGTCTGGCTGTTGTCATAACCCAGAGGTGTGGGCCGTTAAGCAGGAAGCAAAGGGAGTCCCAGGTAAAAAGTGCAGAAGTGTTGCAGGTAGTGGGTGCGTCCCTGAGAGGCTCAGCACAGGTCGTAAGTGTGAGTGACGGAGGCCAGGGGAAGAGAACATAAGGCTCATGTGTATGTGCAACTGCAGGGAAAATGAGGAAAGGTGCTGAGAGGTACATGTAATTACAGGGAAGACACTGAAAGACAACATGGTATATATGCATGCATGTGTCTCCCAGTACTCACATGGGGTGCATCCATGTGAATACTGGGAGACAGAGGCAGGGGGTGTTGGGTGCATGTAAACAAAGGGGGAAAGAAAGACATGGTGCGTGGGAGCTAAAAACACTGGGGGGTGGGGTGGGGAAAACTTACTTGACTTTCCTTGTGAAAGGCCTGCAGGGAAGTTGTCAAATGGCAAACATGTGGCTGCGGGATGCTGAAGCCAGTCATAGGTGCAAGCTGGTTGCCAAATGCTCAAATTTTGTTGCTATGACCATAGCCAGAATTCTGAGGACCAGCTGTAAACAACTCCGTTCAGTGCATTGCCACTTTAAATAGTGGTTGAACAAAGGGCTGTAACTCAAAGACTAGCTGCATTTACCTCAGATAGATTCTATAGGTCTTTATAATAAAATACATGCCGCATAAGTATTTATGATAAAGACCCACCAAAGCCTTTTGAAGTTTCTGACTATAGAAATGATGTGACTGCGGCTAGTCTTTTCCCTCCCCTATCATAGTGGAGTAAATGAGGATGCTAAATGGGATCCATGCTCTTGCTGAAATGAGGAATAGACCCTACAAAGACTATGCAGATACAGTTTACGATCATAGTATACCAGTTTGTGAAAAGCAACATTATTCCAAAAGAAAGCATAATTAAATAGTTATAAAAATGTCAACAGAATATGATATTTAAAGTGAAAAGCAAGAACAATTATGATTGTCCTTTCTTTACCCTGAAACTGGGGTGGATTCCGGTCGGCACTACTGCTGGTTCGCTCTTGTGCATGTTTTGTGCACGCGCGCTTCATGCGCATGCATGCACAGTGCAATTAAAATTGTTATGCACATGCGCAGAATTGAAAAACAAGATGGTGGCGCTGGCAGTGCCAACCAAGGAATCAATTCGGGGGTGTGGCAGGCCTGGGGCACTGCCGGTTCCAGTGACACAGGCCGCCAAACCACTTGACTGAACCGGTCTGAACCAGTAGGAACCCACCACTACCCTGAAGCGTATAATGAATCAGCCAAGAGGTAAAGCAAATAGTCATCCTTTGAGAGATGGGTGGCTATATAAATTTGATAGACGGACAGACAGATGCCCTGTGAATGCCTGCGTAACCTATTTGAGTTTAAAATTCTTTTCTACCAATATAGTGCTTGAAACATTCAAACACTTCAAACTATTAAAGAACAATTTACTTTCTGAGAAACAATTCATCCATCTAACCAAGCTGACTTATTTGTGTTATGTGAAATACATATGCAAGTATCCTGAAAAGATGATAATTTTGTTTTGGAGTCCAACCTGTTGTAGATGGGATTACTCTCTCTAGTTGTAAAACAAGCAAATCTCAAGTAATCCACCACATGTCTGGGTACTTCATACTTTAGCAAGATGGCAAACCAATTGAATATGTCACAGTTGCACCAATGGAAATAAATAGGACTTTTGAGAAGGAGCCCTCTCCCTCCTGGTTCCTTCAGGCAGAGAGGGTAAGGCATGCGCAACAAGATTCAAAGGTGTTTCTTTAAAGGAAAGTGAAGATACTACTAAAGTGGTATGTGTCCTCCTAAAGAAGCTATATCTTGATCCAGCATGGTGGAAAACCACTGCTCAGTCTCCAAATGCTCCTTTCTGGAGAATATTATTAAAGATCATCCCTTCAGAATTGAGCCTTCAGTCAAGTTTCAGACTTAGACGTGGGAGAGTAGTAGTGCTAATTGCTCTGGTGAAGACTTTTATTGGGACCTAGAAAGTTGGAGTGTGCCTCTCTTGATCCTTTTGGACCTCTCAATGGCTTCTGAAATCATCAACCATAGCAGTTTGCTAGGCCCTCGACAGGAGGCAGAAATTGGGGGGCTTACTTTGCAGCAGCTCTCCTCTTATTTACTGGCCAGGTCCAATTAGCAGTGGAAGAGAAGGAGCAGTCAAGCCTATTGGTTGCTCCAGGATGTGTGTTCCAAAGCTTGGTTCTTTTTGCATTGTTTTTTAACATCTGCAGTAAGTTTCTATGTCCATTTGCTAAGGCTGGGTCTGCCTACATATATTATTGGATCACATTTTGGAAGAGGTCACTGATCAGTTTGGGAAGAAATAACACCAATTCACTGATAGTAACTCAATTGTGTATCACTTTCTAACTTAAAGCCAAGAGGTTGTGAGAGTCTGGGTGGCTAAAAATAACCCTAAATCCTAGTGATATGTACTTACTAGTTATTGAGAAATACCAAGATGGCCTCATTATTGTCTTTGCACAGGGTTGTCTGCAGCTTCTGGGTATTTGTGGACTTCCTGCTTTTGCTGGAGCAACAGATGGACACTACAACTGGGAGATATTGCCCAGCAGGGGCTGATGAGCCAGTTACAACCCTACTCAGACCTGGAAACCCTGGTGAGAGTAATTCATGCTCTTTGGGTTTACATGTGCTCTAAGGGGGCTGCCTTTGATGATAATTCAGAAGTTGATAGTACAGCAGCCAAAATGACAGTGTAATTATATTCTCTGCAATATAGATTGCTAATAGGTTTCTGAAACCAATTAAAATGCTGCTTTTAATCTACAAAACTCTATATGGGTTTGTTCCAGGATACGTTAGAAACCATTTCCTCCAGGCAGAATTTGCTAGTTCCTGAATTCACAGGAGGATGTTCAAGGTTCCACCCTTATGAGAATACAAAGAGTCATAGGGTAAAAAGAAAGGCTTTTTGTGGCCTCCAAATCCCAGAACACTTGGCCCTTGGAAGTATACCTGGTACTCTCCCTAACAGACTTTTGCAAAACAATGGGCATTTAGGGATTGATGGTGTTTACTTGTTTGATGATTGGGCAGCTCTGTGATGATGAGTTTTTGTTTTCCTGTTTGTTAGTATTTTGACTGGATACATATAATGCAATATCAAAACTATTTTAGCTGGATTGCATAACAATACATAAAAGAAATAGAACCTGGAAAATATTTAACAGATACACATATAAAGATATCACAATACAGTCTCTTGACTTGTCAAAACATAACAGCAATCAACTCTAGTCCAAGTGTAGCCACAATATTTTACTGAATACTTACTTGATCTTCAGTAAGTTGAGGGATTTATTGGGAGAGGATGTGATCTCACCAGTCCTGTTTCTATTGATGTACACAGAAAATCCATTATTTCTGAAGCCAAATTCTTTTGCAACCTATACAAACAAATTAATTTATTGGTAGAAATCAACATAAAAAGCATCTTATTCTGACTGTAAATCTTACAAAATTGTGTGAACATAATTTATCATACTTACATTATAACAGCTATTCAAAGAATCTCCAGTACATCTGAATTATTTGTTCACATTTAAATTAAGGCTCTATAAGGAAGGATTTTAGAAACAAAGCCTGATTGCTAATGTTAATGATTAACTATATTTAATCCATTTGTGGAGGAAAACATATTGCTTCAACCAGATTAATCAAATCACCAGCTGAAACTGGTAGAAAAAGGGGGCAAACATCTTTCAACATTTTCTCTCTCTCTAGTTTAATACAGAAGTAAATTAGTAAGAACATTCACTGCTTCACAATATATCCAAATACACACAGTATAAAATCTCATTAGAGCTAGCCGGGTATTTGTAAGTAGGACATCCAAATAAGTGGCATTAAATTGAAATATGGCTATCAATATACTTTTGAAATTTGTTCTCTGCAGAAACTCAGCTGGCTCTTTTGCCTAAATGTATTCCTTCTATTTTAGGATTCAACAACTCCTAGACAGCATGGTCAGCCTGAGCAAAATTTATGCTTGCCACAATCCTATCCACACACAACAGGGATGAACTCTTTGAACAGAACATGGAGCTCAGGAACCAACATCATGGGTTAGGGGAAGTGCCTTTTCTACATCAGAAAAATATGGGCTCTTCCTCACTGTATACATTTTCAGATTCTCAGGGGTCAGCAAAAAGCTTCATGGTTTTCCTATTGCTTCTGATGTTTAGTGTAGAATCAGGAGGAACCTTACTAGTACAGCTGTACAGGTAGCCTTCAACTTACAGCATTTAATGACTGTTCGAAATTACAACATGGACCATTATTATTACGACCATTTTTCACATTAAAAACCGTTGCAGCATCGCCATGGTAAGATAATCAAAATTCAAATGTTTGGCAACTGGTTCATATTTATGACAGTTACAGTGTCCTGGGTCATGTGATCACCTTTTGCGAACTTCTGATAAGCAAAAGGGAGAGTCAGATTCAGTTAACAATCATGTTGCTAATTTACAATATAAATTGATTCACTTAAAATCTGTGGCAGAAAGGTCGTAAAATGGGAAAAAATTCACTTAACAAATGTCTTGCTTAGCAACAAAAATGTTGGGCTAAATTATGGGTCCAACCATACAAGGACTACTCGTATTTCAATTTTAAGTTATAACTACACCATGATTTTAAACTATTTATTTTATTAAAATGAACATGGGCATTACTTTGAAAGTAGTGCTTAAAAGTTATGTATGTTTAAAAATACAATTACTTTTTCAATCAAAAATTATGATGTATGCTGTATTGGTTACTTACATTCTTAAATAAGCTGTCAATGTTTTTCTTTTTAGTATTTATTCATTTTGGTTGCAAAATCTGCTTATTTTCACCCTGCTTGCTGATTTAATATGATGAAACCATCAGTGTATGATGTGACAAGGGGTATGTCCTTCAGCCATTTTCAGAGAGCCTATTTTCAGCTCTGACTGTGTAACTGGCCTACAGATATCCAACTAGCTTCTGTGCCTAAGGGAGGATTAGAACCAAAGTCTCACTGCACCTAATCCAGTACCTTAACCAGTTATATGACACTGGCTCTCACTACACAAGTAGTCATAATTACAATAATTACAATATATAGGCCTATCTGTACATTTCTCAGAATTAGGAATTAAATTCTGCAGAATGTAATATAATCCTATTCCTACTACATATGCTTATAAGTGCAGATGGGCGTACTACATAACACTTATAGAATGTTAAAGGAATAAACTAATATGGCAATTCTGAATGCAATAATTGTTTCTCATTCTATTCACCTTACCTGCATTAATCCTAATGGTCTCTCAACATGGAGACCAACTTTTTTGCTCTGCAACATCTGACTGGCAGATGCTGTAATTCATCACACCAGATCTTTTCTCATCAAACAGTTTAAAACAATCCTTCAACAGAAATTCATTGCAACATGTCAGAGCAAGTTCAAAATAGAGCCAACACTATATTCTCTAGACATTCATACTACAATTTAACACTGCATTCAGATGTAGACACCATAATGTGACCCCTCCCCAACTTATTGTTTTGAAATTTTATCTGATGAAGTTATTCAGAGAGATATTTGGTCAGCCTGATTTGGCCTTATAAAGGCAGTGTCAATAGAGATTCTGGAATGTCTTTGCTCTCTTTGAATCCAGATAAAGCTTCAGTGAAAATTCAAAGTGAAAATGCATCACCAAAAGTTTCTGAGCAAAAACTAAACAGTATAGATGCTTGGACTGGCTTATTCAACCAATGTGAGATGAACTTGTATTACTATCTTAGGGTAGCCCAAAGAATATGCCAAAACCAGAATACCTTTTTCAGAAATGTTGCAGCAGTTTCTCGTTTTGTTGCAGTAATACGTTTCACTCCTTCTGGTGACTGGACACGGATTATCTATAAGGAATTTTACAGATTTAGGAAAAAGCTAAACAAAAATAACTTAATAATGCCCATCAAATTTTCATGATTAAGGCAAAAGGAAAGAGAGCATATATAGAAATCTGACTCTAGAATATGTAAGAGATGTAACATTTCATGAATGTTATTTTTAACATATAAAAATTTGTTTGTCAAAAATATATAGTTAGCCAAAGTAATGAAATTAATAGCTGTACAATAGGATTGCACTTAACTATTAATTTCATTACTTCAGCTAGTGATAAATAATATTAGAAAAACATTGAATGAATTTTAAGTTTTTAAGTTACAAATTGCAGAGCTTTAATTCAGATCTATAAAGAAATTTCATGAGCTTTTTAGACTGGTAAAAGAATATTACACCACATTGCATCATTAATTGCATGCATGCTTCATTTTAAAGGAAAATTGCCATCCATCTTCATTAAAATGAAAAGTCACACCAATTCTGTGGGATACACAGGAAGAATAATGTCTATTTACTGAGGAAGTCAAGCGTACCTTTGATAAGAGACCAACTTGTTTTTGGCAACATTTAGCACTAAATACTATATTCAGTGGTGGGTTCCGGATTCCGTTCCAACCAGTACGGTTGGAATGGCCCTGAGTTACCCACATGCACGTGTGTATGCACATGTGTGTGAAGTGCACATGCATTGTAGCATCAAATGATGCTTCCACAAACTTCCACAATGCTCCAGCTGCTCGGCGGAGCGTTGCACAGGCGCTATACGCACCATGCGTGTGCACGGAAGCGCCAAAAGCTTAAAACATAGGTAAGGAGCACGGGCGGGTGGGTGGGCACTCCAGAGCACCATACTGGAACTGTATCCGGTGCTCCAGGCAGGATCCGGTACGCCCATACTGGGGCATACTGCCTGCAACCAATCACTGACTATATTATATCTTCTTACAGAATTTAAAAACATACACAAGCTGCATTAATGTGCACAACCCTATATCCTACATTAGGCCACTGCTCAGAGTTCAAATCTATACTTGAAAGATGATGCAGTTTAAGGGCAGATTTTACAGATTAATTGGGGCTCACTTCACTTCAATGAAAGAATTAAACATGGTGGAAATTCACACATGCTAATGTCCTATAAAATGTTTGAAATACTTTTTAATATGATAGCTTTCCAACACGTGGTTCTAGAAAAATGTATTAATTCAAAGAAGCAATTCTATATGGCTTTCTTGATAATTCTATTACAATAAGCATAGATAATTTCAGTTTGAATATGAATTGGATCTGACTACATTGCAGCACAGCACCATGGTGAAGCAATTCTGTCTTTAAAAGGTAAAGATGCTCTTGTATTGAGCTCAACTCCTTTGCCTCAAAGTGCTGATTCCATACTTCCAGCTAGGATTCCACCTGGAGACACAGCTAAATGACTAATCCTAGGCCCATGCCAAACCATTCATTATCTCATTGAACAATGTCCAAATCTTAAAATCTTTTTAAAACTAGATAATGTATGTGCATACACATGTACATACTTACTTTCTATTGGGTACAAATTTCAAGAGGAAACTGTATTTTTAAAAATAGGAACATTTAAAAGATTGGTGTATAATTAAAAAAACACTTTAAAGAAAAGCTGATAGACTGCAATTTCCAGATGTGGATAAGCAGATATTTACCAACTGGTAATATTTTGATATTTTGGAACTATAGTAAGCAGTTAAATTACGGTTTTTCTTAAAATTTGGAGAAAAATAGCAAATAGTATTTATTTCAAAATTATATAATCTCCCATAGTTATACTTTGAAATGTACAATAATCCATTACATGTTCATGTAATTATACATACCATGGTTATTGGCAGTTTAAAATAAATTTTATTATTAAAATTAATAATGACAATTGAAAATTTAGTATAAACTTTGGTAAAAAGAAATCAACCCAAATACAATGTAGCCAGTACTAAGACCAAAGAGATCAACAATCTATTAATATAAAACAAGGCAAATTGACCTAACTTTATTAAAACTTGTGCTGTCCAATTTTATGAAATATTATACAAACTTAGCTGCCAAAAGAGAATTTAAAATTTGGATTAGTCTTGCTATACATAACATATTTTTCTATCTATTTCTTTATTATAATAAAATCTGATAGAAAGGAAAGATGGCAATGCAATATACTTTTAACCATGGTAGGACCTGCTTTCTCTTCAGTACGCCTTAACTAAACCTTTTCACTGATCATAAAGGACAGGGACGGGTTTTTCATCTTTGCCAATTCAGATAAGGAAAACATTGAAGATACTTCTTAAATGCTGTTAATATAAAGCAAGTATTGAAGTAGTTCTAGCATAGCCAAAGCTTCACTTACTGAGGGGTTTCTTACTGTCAAAAACCCCAAACAAGTGATCCACTGGGATACACATGATTCATGCTGTCTAGCATGGAAAGCAATACAATAATTAAGGGAATGTGGGCAGGAAGTCATATATCCTATGGATGTAGCTATCTTAATTTATTGCAAGTAATGTTAATATTGAACCTAGATCCAAAATAATTAGTTTTAAAGGGGGGGAAAAGTTACAGAAACTTTTGTCAGCTTTTCCAAGTTTCTGTTGCCTTCTAAATGTATTAGACAACTCCTATGAACACATCATCTTGGGATTATAGGAAAAGTAGTCCGGTATTTCAAGAGAAAAAAATATTTAGAGATAGATTCTTATTCTATGTATCAGGGAGCTCAACCAATCTCATTGTACATATGTTATGCACTGACAATAAAGAATTATATTATTATTATCATGCGTTTGTAACGAAATCTCAGCTTTTAATTTTCGAACTCTGCATATATCCTGCCCTAAGGAGAAAGAGCCCAAAATGTTAAGTCAGTCATATATATATATATAACGAAACTGGCTTGAAAGCCTGATGTGCTGAGTTCTCCCCCCTCTGGAAAGAAGCCCATATTTCAACACTCAATGAAGGTGGGGAGGGGGACCCCCATCTTCAGTTGTAGCAGACCCGCGCTCCCCTCGTTCAGGGAGGTCCCCCTTGCTCTTCCACAACCCTGGCAAGGGAGAAGACGGGACAGGAAAATAAACCCCACCGCGGGCTGGTGCCTCCCATCTTCCCAAGGCAGAGCTGTCAGCCCCCAGCCGGGCAGACGCTGGGGAAGCCAAGTGGGGAGACACCCAACGCCCGCTTTACAATGACAAAAGACCGGAGGGGGGGAAACCCCTCCGGGGGGATGAGAGAAGAGGGAGACCCCCCTCCTTCCCCCTCCCCGGCTTCATCCCCCTCGGACGAGCCGAACTTACAATGGTCTCCGCCATATCCTTGCCGCCGTTCCGACCCTCGTCCTGCCCCGGCTCCGGCAGCTCCGCCCCTTACTCGCCCTCCCCGCTGCTCGTGCGCCGCCAATACTGCCGCGTCACCGTTTCCCGCCCGGCAGCGCAGGAGAAGCAACAAGGTTCCGGGTAGAAAAGGTCCGCCCCGAAGAAGACGCAGCCTTCCCCTCTCTTTCCTTTTTCTTTCCCATTCCCATTCGCTGGCTCCGCCTAGTGCAGTGTTTCCCAACCTTGGCCACTTGAAGATGTTTCAGACTTCAACTCTCAGAGACATCTTCAAGTGGCCAAGGTTGGGAAACACTGGCCTAGTGGCTTCTGGTTTTATCAGAGAGTCCCAAAGAAGCTTTTTTCAGGAGGCGACTGGACTTCCTTCTTTGTTTGTTTTTTCCTTTTTAACCATGGCTTGGATGACTGAGAATCTCTACAGACTTTTGGTCTGAGATATTTTTTTTCTCCCCCCCGCCCTGGGATTCGAGTCAGAGGCGCGTATCTATCTATCTATCTATCTATCTATCTATCTATCTATCTATCTATCTATCTATCTNTATCTATCTATCTATCTATCTATCTATCTATCTATCTATCTATCTATCTATCTATCTCTAATCAAGCATGAATTAGATAACATATGTATAAACATGATTTTGCATACATGAAACGGATACAAATACAAGGGATTATTAGGACAGGGACGGTAGGCACTCTGGTGCACTTATGCACGCCCCTTAAAGACCTGTTAGGAAGGGGATGAGGTCGATAGTAGACAGTCTAAGGCAGAATTCTTTAAACTTGGCAACTTTAAGACTTGTGGACTTCAACTCCCAGAAGTCCACAAGTCTTAAATCTGCCAAGTTTTGGGGGTTTGGGGAAGGAACAACATTGTCTGGTAGTGGATTCCAGGCATTGACAATTCTGTTACTGAAGTCATATTTTCTGCAGTCAAGTTTGGAGCGGTTTACCATAAGTTTGCACCGGGTGGGTTTCTGCTGGCATTACTACCAGTTCGGCACCCAATTTTTTTTTGCTGAATATCAAACTAAAAGGTTGGTGTTTTTTTTTGCTTTGACCTGGTTTTGTGAATAAGCCACAACCAAGACAGACCATGTTTTGTCTGGGGATGGATGGAGATCAATCCTTCCTCATAAGATTGTCAGAATTATGTATGAGTTATCTTACTAAGCCACATTATATTTTCATTCTGTTGTGATGAATGAATTTAACCTTTGTAGCTTGCGACTGGTTTATGACTCATGTTTATGATTCATGTTGTAGTGTGTCAACAAACTATGATTAAGACAAAAGGTTAATGTGATGCATGAGTATGGCTACTTTAATTTCAGATCTAGATACTTTCAGCAGCCCTTGAAAATGAAGTTATGTTATACCTAGATAAATTGTTTTACATTTAGATTGTTTTCTATGCATGCATAAAAGTGAAACTACTATATTAATAAGGGAAATATAGTTATGTAGTCATTATTTTTTATTTGTGTATGGCTTGATATACATATTTAAGTAAGCCATAGTACATTTAATCAGAAGCATTTTATAAAACACAATCATAAGCCATTGTTTGCAAATCATTTTGGCTGAATTCACATTGCATATTAAGCCCAAAATAACCCACATGTGATAGGTGAATGTTAACTATTATTGGAAGGAGAAACACTGATCAAAGTGTGCATTTGCAATATATTGTCATTCTGGAAAAAAAAATGAATGTGAAACCAAACCATTTTTCAAACTATTCTTTGGAACATTACACTTATAGCAATAGCACTTAGACTTATATACAGCTTCATAGTGCTTTTACAGCCCTCTCTAAGCAGTTTACAGAGAGTCAGCATATTGCCCTCAACAATCTGGGTCTTCATTTTACCCACCTCGGAAGAATGGAAGGCTGAGTCAACCTTGAGCCTGGTGAGATTCGATCTGCCAAACTGCTGGCAGCTGGTGATTAGCAGAAATAGCCTGCAGTACTGCACTTTAGCCACTACGCCCCTACACTTATGATGTACAGTGATATTGGTATGTTGTAACTGATTCATAAAATCTGATACAATTTCTCTAAACAATTTTACAGCCATCAGTATATAATATAGACTACTCATATATATCAATTATAGTTGCAAACTAATTAAACTGATCTAGTTCCGGGTAAATGTGTTTAAATTACTCATTTGTATTGTTCCTCTTAGTAAAGGTTTAGCAGATTCAGGTTTTGTTTCTTTACACACCTGTTTGCAAATACTATGTAAGCTCTCTTGTAAATATCCCAAAAGTTATCATTTTTTAAAATGTACATGACAATAGTAGCCACTCACAATATATTGTTTGCACTGCACATCACAATTTCTTGGATTGTGTAGGTATGGAGAAAGCTACCTTGATTCTTGGCGATACTGTATAGCCTTGTACATATTCAGTTCACTATTCAGTTTGAAATTACTGTAATTGTAAGGTTTTTCAAAACCATGTTTCATATAATATACCTCTTGATAATAGGGTGAAACATCATCACTATTACTTTAGAGATAGGAAACCAAGGGTGAGGGAGAATGGTTTCAACCATTCAGAAAATTTGCAACTGAATTTGGAAATTCACATCTAAAGCCATATTTTATTCAGTGGATTCAGGCCAAATATTTACAATTTGTGCACATTCCCTTTTTGATATTAAATGTGCCTCTTGCTCATAATATACTTGCCCTGGAACACCGTAACATTATGTATTAAGGTAAATGCCTATATAATGTAAATGAGCTTTTTATGTTGATATCTGTTATTGAAGGCCTTGATGCAACCGCAATACCACATTTTTGTACATCTCTGTGTATATAATTATAAAGGTCAAGCAAAGCATTGAAATGTATGTGAAATAATTGGAAGCAGTTTTTCAAATAACTTAGGCCTGGGAGCTTTGCAAAAGATACAGCTGCTTTAAAGATTGAAAGAAAGGTGTTTTATTTGTACTCCTATGCATTGTAAACCTTAACTATCCCATATGAATGTTTCACATAAATAGTTATACAGTACTACGCACTCAGCTGACAGGCATAATGATATACTACTATTTAATGAATATACTTACATCAAGTGAGACAAAGCAAATCTTTTTAAGCTGAGAAATGTGATTTCTCACATGATGCAAGTATGACTGTGGTAGGTCTATGCCAAAATTCTCCTCATACATGAATGTTGGACTGTTATCTGGCTACTCCAAAGAGCTGTGGAATCATTTCAAATCCATTTCATGCTGTACATCAAATATGAAGAAATTGGTTACAATTGTGAATTCTTTCTTGAAGTATCTTCACTTTCCGAGCACCAAGATTGGAGAAGATGAAATAAAAGTTTTGCTATCAAAGGTAATAACAAGGAGTTGTGTTACATATTGGGCTTGTTTCAGCTTTTATCCAAGGAGATCCTGAATCTTTGTTCTTGGCATATGATGCTACTTTTCAGTTGTGTTTGTTTTTTAACTGGGAGATTATTTATTCTTTGTTGCCTAAGAAGCAGGCGTAAGAAAGTGTGACAGCAATGCTTCAGAGGTGTCAACTCTCTAATCCATCCTGCAGCAGTCTCCAATAAGAAATAGTATTAATAAATTGTAAGCAAATATATTTATTAAAAGTAAAATCTCAGTGAATTTTATTGCACTTTTAACAGATAAATATGCTGAATCATCTTAGCTTTCTTACAAGTGTTCCTTAAAAAAGGATCAAGGTAAATTTGTTTCTACTTTGATTATTTTAGTAACTTTTTAAATTAAAAATGGTTATTTGCTGACAAAGAGTTATTTGCAGTCCCATTTTATGTTTATTGCTCTTGGCAATGTTACTTTTGCTATATTTCACATTTATCTATACGTGTCAACCTTACCACCAAATTTTCATAACGCATCTCTTCACTTGTTTAAAATGGTTCCTTTTTCAGTTCAAATTGTACTTTATTGTGTCAGTATCTTTTTCTCTTATCCATGACTTTTTGGGGGGAGGACGGGGACACATTTGCTGAATGAAATTATGCAGCCAGAGTAAATATTAATCAAAGCTAAAATCAAATATATACTTAACTTTTTCTGTTAAACAATTCCAGGTGATTTTAAGATTTTTAACATCAAATATTTATCCTAAAGCAGCAATTCTGAATAATTCAGATTTATACAACATGCTAAACCATGGCAATGTTTACTAATACACCAAAATCATCATAGTTAAGGAAAAGCACATTTACCAGAATTAGTTTCCTTGACTGCAGAGGTGGGTTCCTACCAGTTCGCACCTATTCAGTAGAACCGGTTTGTCAAATCTACCGAACCGGTTAGAAGAGGTTCCACCAGTGGACCCGGAAAGCAGGCCACACCTACAGAAGAGGTTCCAAAAATTTTTGAAACCCACCACTGGTCCTTGGATATGATTATTCTACACTATCATGCTCATATTTATAAAACTCAGTGCCTCTGTGAAAGGTAAGGATGACTACTGCGTTTGTGGTGCAACCGAACATTGTGTGTGTTGAAGTTGTTTTAACGCAAACCAAAGATGCCTTTTAAAAAACAAGTTTACATCATATTCTTATGCATGCCAGTGCTGTGTGTGAGGTAATTTAAGGTGGTTCTGACAGGTGTCGTCAGCATCTTCATATCCGGTCACATGGGCGGCAAGCCACTCCCACAAAGGAGGCCACACCCACAGAGTAGGTTCGAACAATTTTTGAAACCCACCATTGCTTGACTGGGATTTATTTATTGATTGGTTGTTCAAAATTACATTGGAGTTGGGGATTATTGTCTTTTGACTTCCAAAAATAGAGCCAGGAGAATAAAATAACCCAAATAACCAAACAGTTATAACCACTCCATTCTTCTGTCTTTTCAACATTTATGGGTATATGGGTACATGGGAACACCTTACAACTATTTGCTATATATTTATCTTATTTATATTCTGTGGTAATTTGGTGACTTGCAGCTAATTTGGTTTGAAAACATGGTAATAAATGGAAAAATGCATCATAAAATTAAATAACACAAGACA